CAGTGCCTCTCCCCTGCAGGTCACCTCCCCCAGCTGCCTCCCAGCTCTGATTCTGTGGGTGGCTCCTTGTTGCCGGCGGTGCATGCTTCACGTGTTCTCTCTCTCGCTCACACTCATGTTTATGTGGCTACGAGGTGCTGAATGCTCATCCAGCCTTGAGGGTACAACAGGGTGAACAGAACAAGCTCCTTCCCTGCCCTCATGGGACTGACGGTCGCCTACAAATAAATACATAATTACAAATGATCAAAGGCACTCCTAGAAGAACCGGCACATTGAGGAGAGCTTGTATGCGGGTTATGTAATTTGGGCTTCATGTAAAGAGAATAACTTGAGGGTATTTGGTGCACAGGGGTCAGAATTTAGCAGAGTCCAGACTCCAAAGCCTGGTATACAAGGTTGGCCACTGTTATGGGTTGAACTGTGCCTCCCACCAAAAGATATGTTAGGGTCCTGACCCCCAGGACCTCGGAATATGATCTTATTTGGAAACAGAATCTTTATAGAGATAAATGAGGTCATTAGGGTGAGTCCTAATCCAATATGACTGCTGTCCTTATAAAAAAGGGGATTAGGACAAAAAGACACGGAAACCTGGGAAGCACACTGCGTGAACATGAAGAGACAGGGGTGAAGCTTTGGCAAGCCAAGAAACACGAAGACCGCCAGCGACCAGCAATAGGAGAGAGAATCTCCCCTCACAGCTCTTGGCAGGAACTGACCCTGCAACACCTTGGTTGGACCTGTAGCCTCCAGAACCGTGAGATAGGACGCTTCTGTCGTGTATCCATGCGGCACTTTGTGAGGGCAACCTGAGCTAATATGGCCGCCACGCGGCCTCTGCCCAGCTTGGCCTCGGCCGCTCCCCCAGAGCCTTCCCACCCTCACAGTTCTGGAACGGACCCGCTTGTTTCCTCTTCTGACCTTCTGCACCCACCATACCCCTGTCAGGGACGGCTCTACATCCCCGGCTCCCTGAGACCCTCTGCACCCCTCCCCGGGCCGTCCCCCTCCATCCCTCCCTCCTCCTCTCAGGGCTCAGATGCTGTTCCACCTCAGGTACCAGAACAAACTCTGCCCTCGAAGCCTGAGGACAAAGCTGGATGTCTCGCCCACATTTTCGGACCCAAATCATACCACCCTGCAGCGTTTCTCAGACCGGAGTCGATAAATACACGGGTGCCATCCTGTCTAGAAATCCTCACACACCCCGGAATAGTCCCTTAACCTCATTTTACTGCACGTCAACTCAGGAAACCAAGGTCTTGCTGCAAAATACCACAACGGAGAGACAACTTTGTTTCCGTAACTGCTTTAAAAACTAGAATACCATCAAAATGAAAATACAAAATTAATCAATTCTCAGGGAAGAGTATATACCTGGAGGCTTGGGAGCCAAAGACTCCTGTTTATCCTGGGGCTCCTGGGGTGGAGCTGCACCGGGATCACCCGAGGGCTTGAAAAACAGGTTTGTACCTGAGATTATTCTCGGTTAGGGCAGGGCCTGGGATCACTACCCTCCTCGCTCCTTTTTTGTATTTTTTTTTAATGTTTATTCTTGAGAGAGACAGAGCTTGAGCAGGAGCAGGGAAGGGGCAGAGACAGAGGGAGACACAGAATTTGAAACAGGCTCCAGGCTCTGAGCTGTCAGCACAGAGCCCGACGCGGGGCTCGAACCCACGCACCGTGAGATCATGAGCCACAGTCGGACGCCCAACCGACCGAGCCACCCAGGCGCCCCATACCCTCTTTTTTTTTTAAGCTCCCGAGTAAGCCAGTGAGTCTGGTTTGCAGCCAGGAGGGCGGGGGCCTTGGCACCCCTGGAGTCCTCAGAGGCTCCAGGGGACAGAGCCAGCCTTCCCACCTTGGCGTGTGCATGCAGGGCCCAGTGTGTGGGCACAGAGCCTGCGTAATGGACAGTGCTGTGTGCCTGCAGCCTTCTGGTAGCTCTGAGTCTGGGGCCAGACATTCCACAGGTTGCCTGGCTCACTTCGCAGCACACTGACTTCAGGTCAGAGCCTTCATTCCTGCGGTGCAGTGGATTCCCTCGTTAGATCCCTAAGACAACAATCGGAGGAAGGCAGGGCTGGGCTGTGGCCTCCATTTTACAGATGAGGAAGCTGAGACCCAGAGAGGTAGAAACTGTGGGGCGCTCTGGTCGGTTGTGGGGAGGCACCAAATGTGGGGCATCCCCGTCGGGTGTCACAGGCGGTGAAAGAATTCACCCGAGGCAGAACAAAAGAGAACTTTATTGAATACATTGCAAGGGAGAGACTGTCTGCCACGAGGTGGTGGGGAGGGGCCATGGTTATAGGGCAGAGTGAGGGATGATGGGGATCTATGGAATTTTCCCTTCTCTGGTGATCTCAGGAACTATGTCTGCTTGTAACTGGTCAGCGAGGGCCTGTGGCTGTTTCCGGGTGGGTCACTTAATGAGCCTGTTTGCATTCAGCTTGGCTGTCACTGTGGGCCCTTTTGCCTGGATTTAATTTCCATTGCTGAAGCCTGTTGCCTAAAAGGGGTCTCTACAGAAACCGCTTTTACAAGGTCGCCTGGCTAGACTGGGATTCTGAGTGCTAGCTCGGGGCCTTTCCCCTTGCTTCCAACCAGACTGATTGTCCCTCCGAGCTTTATGCTAATAAGCTGACTGTGAATATGGCATGTTTTCATTGCCCCCAGTGCACCACCTTTGTTATTTAAAAAATAAAACAAAAATAAACCCCCATCAAACTGGTTCCATGTAGTCCCTGACATCTGGGGAGTGGACCAGATTTGGCCAGGCCACGTGGACCCTGCAGGTATACCCCCCGGGTAACTACAGAGAGCCCCAAACTCCTCATTTTCCCAGGGTGGAATCTATGGGGCTGAACTTGGCCTCTCCCATGGTGTCAGGAAGTGGATGCTCCATAGCCACACTGATTAAGTGGCCAAAATACACAGCAGTGATCTTGGGGCCCGCTGTTCTCTGCCTTCCTGGGAGTTTCCTCCAGCTGTGTATCTGACAACAAAGGGACATTGAGGAGAGAGCAGGGGCCCAGCCCCACACCAGCCCAGGTCTCCATTAGCTGCTCCCCGGCCCCTGGAGCATATGGCCACCACTGCACCTGCAGTTGGGATCCAGGTTACCCCAGGTCACCCTGGGACACCTGTGGCTCAGGGCAGTGCCTGGGCTGAGAGCTCACCATGTGGCCCACAGCCTTGGGGATTCTCCCGAGCTGGCTTCCTCCCTCTGTACTGCAAACTCCTCTGTTTCCTCTTTGTTTTTAAAATTACTTGCCCCAAGTCTTTGGCCATTTCTGTCCGTCTGGGGAGCAGGTGAAGCAGGCTGTCCTTGACCTGGGAGCAGGGCTTTCGTGGCCAACCACAAGGCCCACCCACTCTGTTATACCTCAGTTCCACTCGCCACCCTCCTAAAGTCCTCATCACTTCTTGTTGCATGGCTGCAGGACTGCCTCTTCCTAGTTGGCCTCCCAGCCTGCAGTCTCAGGGGGTCGTCTTCCTGCAAGCTTGGGCCTAGAACCAACAACTCTCTGGAGCCCTCCCTATCTTGGTCCTCTGTCTCCTCGACCACCCTGTCCTGGGACGTGCCGGCTTTTTACACTATCAGGTGGCATGGTGGTGTTTATTTAGGTGCTGGGCTCCCTGCTACTGTGCACCCCTCCAAGGCTGAATCAAAGTCTTCCGCTTCCTGTGGCTCTAGAACCTGGTGCAGAGTTGGCGTTTGGGAGTATTTGTAGAGTCTGCATCCCACAGATTGAACTCTTCCACCAACATGGTGCTGCCTTGCTCAGGGCGTGGGTTTGTGGCCAGTGCTGGGCAGAACTGTGACGAAGGGGTCTCAGCCCCAGGCTTCGTTCTCTCGTGCTCGGTGCCCCCACCCAAGGTCCTGGGGGTCCTCCTACCACTGGAGTCATCTTTAACACCCCCCTCATTACCACCGTGGCTTGACCGCTCACCTTGTGCCCTCCCCTGTGAGACCCTGACTACAGTCACTCCAACATCTACTCTCAAGGAACAATCTGCGGTCCAGTCACATTCAAGTTTGAAGCTCAGTCACAGCTTGACGTGCCGCCAATGGTTAGGAACAGAGGCCAAGGCACAGAAACTGTCATGGTGGAATGTGAGGCCTGGTGGCCAAGAGGAGAGCCACTCAGGGGAGGTGGTGGCTTTCCTGGTCCTGCAAAGTCCTCAGGGAATGATATTGGGGTAGGACACCCTGTCCTTCCAGGTGACCAACACCTGTGTGGGTGGGATTCGAGGCAAGGCCTGATTGGCTGAGGGCTCCTTGGTGGCCCTAGCTGATTGGATGACCGAAAAGTCCTTCCTCAGCGGGGGCCTGCACCAGGCGCTCCTCTCAGGAGCCATGCCTCCTCAGTGCTGAGCTCTGCCCTGAGATGATGCCTGCTGAGGTCCAGGAGGAGTGGGGGCTGGAAGCCTGTCAGTGCTCAGTAAATATGCCACCAGCGTCTCTGGCTGCTGGGGCACCTCACCAGGAGACAGGGCTCTATTGCCTATTACCACAAAGAGGCCACGTCATAGCATGGTCTTTCCACACTCCTTCCTGGTGATGACGGAGTCAGGGATGAGCTCTGGAACCAAAATCAGGGGAATGGACCCCCAGTCCCTAAAGGGATTCACTCCTTGCTTAAACAGCTACCTCCCCTCTCTAGGCCTCAGTTTCCTCATCTGTAAGACGAGGGGCAGAGTTAAAGGCTCTGCTGAGACCCCTGTACCTCATACTCCAGCTGTTCTATGCCGTCCCCTTAGGTGAGGAGAAGAGAATGAATGTGAGGACCAAGGAAGCTGGGAAACAGGGGGGGTGTGGTCAGAAGTCAATGGCAAGAAACCCAAATGTATGGAAATGCTCAGGGCTTATTTAAATGGTCTATTCCCAAGTGTCCCCAGCGGGGCCAGCTGACATCAGTGACAGACGTTCGGAGCAGACAGATGCATCAGTGGTTTTTATTGGTGTTAATGCAGTGACCGGATTGTGCCTGGACTTAACAGGGCATGAGGGTGAGGAGAACGTCTTCTCTCACAGTGCTTTCGCTGCAGAAGTTGTGCCTGCCGACAGAAATGAAAGCTTCGTAAGCATCGGGTAGCTTTACATGGAGTTTTAAGTTGTTAAGAAAAGATGATTGCCGATTTAGGATTCACACGGAATGAGGAAAACACTAGGGTCGTAGCTTCAACCAGTTACTGGAGAACTTGGATTTCCCATGAGACAGGTGGCTGGTGTCTGTGACAAGCTCCCCTGTCAGCTGTTGCTCAGAGTGGCCCTGGTCTCTGGGTCCTCAGTCCGACAGGACTGTGGGGCATTGAGGCAGCAGCTAGAACTCTAACTGGCCTCTTTCTCCACAAGTCAGCATGGGTCCTCCTTGAACACAGCCCATTGGTATCCAGATGGGCTCACTCTTGACTGAGCCACTCTGTAGACTGGATTCAACCTTATAACAGCTCCTGAGCTCTTACTACAGGCAATAACACTGACTGATTCGCTTGTGCAAACTTCACCCTCACAACACATGTATGAGGAAGTATTACTAGGAGTCCTGCGTTATGGGAGAGGAAACTGAGGCACAGAGCGCTCTCAGTAAGTGGAAGAACCAAGAGGCACATACAGGTCTCTCTGATGCCATAGCCCACGTTGTCCATGGCAGAGTCACAGTTCAAATCTCCCTTGACTTGCCTTCTGCGCCTGAAGTCGGTCAGTGGATCTTTCCCTTTGGGCTCCCCACTCCCTCCTTTCTAGGGGGGGGACACGGGGCTTGTTACTTGAGTCTCTGAGTGTTGGGATCTTCATTTGTTGAAGAAGGCACAGTTCCCTCCCATGATCGCTGAGAATCCCATGTTAATAATGCAACATCTTATGACCATAAATGTGAAAAAGCTTTATAATTGATAAAAAAAAACATTGTAGATATAAGTGACTATCATTACTGTTGTTCCAAGAACCAAGCGCTTCTTGGATCTCGCTGCCTTTGAGCTCTGAGGCTTTGCCTGGTTTTACCTGTCGTCTTCACTGTGGTCTCTTTTGTATTTCACCTGTCTTGCTGCCCTAGCTCTATCTGCAATCATATTTCCAGTTCTCTGCACCTCGAGCCCTGCCTGCCATCTGCAGTCTGGGATCGCCTGCCCCTCACACACCAAGCCCATCGCCCATGCTGGTTTTGATCTTCTTGTATTTTAAAAAATCTGATGTCCCAACATCTCGCTTCTCTTAAGGTGGATTTCCTCTGGGGTCAACAGACAGGGGAAGAAGGGACATGCAGGGGAAGAAGGGACACGCAAGCCACTGGAGGGTTCAGAAGGCAGCTAATGGCCTCAGGGCCTCGGGGGGGGGGGCGTTGAATACAATCTGTTCCATTTCTAGAAAGTGCAGGAAGTCACAGCCTTTCCTCAGAAAACCTTAGTTTTTCTTGAAGGCAGTGACCTGCATCTGTGTTCTTCTTCTCAGATAGGGCTGAGAACACCCAACAGAAATGCTTTACCTCGTCTGTCAGTTGTTTGCCTACAGAGAAAAGGCCTCAGGTGGGTAGATTGTCTTGGCTTTTCTGGCTGAACCGTGACTGACTTTCTGGAGTGAGTTTCCATTATGAACACCAATCTCTACCAACACCCTGAGGCACAAGCCAGCAAACATATACGTACGCTGTTTTCTCCTCTCCCTTTTGGACGGTGATCTTGGCTGCACCCACTTTGGGGAAGGTTGGGTTTATCACGTTGTTGTTCCAAAGAAACTTGACTTTCTCAATGGTTCCAATATCAAGCTTTGCATCAAACTGATTAGAATGGGTAGAGCCTGGTGTGAGAATCCCCCTTGAAATAAAGAAATAGAAACATTCCATGCATAGAAACAAGTTCTAATCACCAGATAAGACCATGCCACTCTTTTCTACTTGAGATTAATGAAATTATTTTTTTCTAAATTAGTTCTCAAATAAAGGATGGAGAAATGGAGAGGGCAGCAGCCTCAAACTATTGTTTGAATGTTGTTTTCTCAAACTCAAGTTAGTTTCTCCTCACAATGTTCTTATAGAAAACTATATAATTCCTTCATATTTTTTTCTGGAAGAGTTATTTGTACAGTAATAAGTTATTCACTTAGTTTAACACAACATGCATGTGTTACTATGCTAATAAGGAAACATGACACCTGGGGGTAATATTATATATATATATATGTGTGTGTGTGTGTGTGTGTGTATATATATATATATATATTTAATCTATTTTTTAAAACAGACCTATCAAAAGAGAAAAAAACTATTGCCTGGATTTATAATTGAGAAAAGAAAATTGTCAGCAGAAGTCTGAAAGTCACTTTAATACATACAGCAAATAATTTAAAATTACTTGATAAAGAGAAGATAAACATTTCACTGTGTGGATTTGAAGTCCGTGTATATCATCAAGTGAGATGCGGAGCCAAAAAAGGAAACTTACCTGAAGACATCGAATTGGTGAGTGTTTCCCTTATTTCCAAACAAAGCAACTTTGACCTGACCAGTGGCTATTTTTCCAGACAGTGTTATAGAAACTCCGTATCTCCAGCCTGCACAGGGGATAGAAAAGATTTCAATTTATTCATACGCAAAATAGTTGACCCAAATTTCAGAATCCTGTCATCCCTTACACCGAGGCATCCAAGTATAAGAAATCCTACTAATCTACAACTCGAATAGGCTATAGGCAGGGGTACGTACCTAGTGGTATTCCCTCTCCAGAGCTACACTGCCCAGTAAAGGGACGTTACCCATAGGTGCTGCTTTAATTTAGGTTCACGCTAAGGAAGACCAAAAATTAATTCCTGAGTCTTACTAGCCACATTTCTAGTGTTAAATTGCCACACGTGGCCACTGGCTACCGTTCTGGGCAACAGGGAGCATTTCCATCATGGCAGAAAGTTGTGTTGTAGAACTCCGCTCGAGAGGGACCGCACTGTGAGATAAGGTGAAAAGAGAAGGGACAAGGGCTTGTTCCCATGGTAGGAAAAGTAGCTCAAGAAAGTAGTCCTGCGAGAACCTCAAGAGCAGGGACTGTGCTGTACCTGCACGTCCCCAGCGCCCCAGGCCGTGTCCGTCATAGAGCGGGGCTCAGCTGTTACCCAGATCTACACCTGCAGTGCCGTGTCAGTGCCCGTGAGGACATCCCGCACACCTATGACCGCACGCTCACTCACACACACACAACCACAGACCCACATCTACACCCACACGCGCACACGCATGTACACACGCATGTACTGAAACACACACACATCATTTGCCTAGCTCCCACTTGTCCTTCACATCCCCGGGGACGCTGTCCCTGTTCCTTCCTCTGGGCAGGGCCAGGTCCTCGGTCCCAGGTTGCCAAGCGGCAAGTCGCCACGCCCAGCACACTGGGGCTGCGCGCTCGGTTTCCGCCTTCTCCGCTGGGTGATGCATTTCATGCACAGAGCGTCTTGCTTACCCCTGCATCCCTAGTGTCCGCATAGTCTGTGGTTCGTACAGAAGTATCAGTTGAGGAGTGAGTATGTGGCTTTCAAATGTTTAATTTGTTGTTTTAAAATATGGGCCAGCATTTCATGCATCACAACACTGGAAGGCTTGATTAACCATTGTCTTAAAATATGTATGTGAGTGTATATATATATATATATATATATATATATATATGGTGATGAAGGTGTTCTATATCTGGATTGTGGAGATGGTTACATGACTATTCATCTATCAAAACTCATAGAACTATATACTACAAAGGGTGGGTTTTGCTGTCTATAAATTGTACCTCAATAAGTCTGACTTTAAAAACTAGATAAGGCATATATTGTATTTATGTCTTTATATAAAAGCAGTGACTTTTTAAAAAAAGTTTTTTTTAATGTTTACTTATTTTTGAGAGGGAGAGAGAGGCAGAACATGAGCAGGGGAGGGGCAGAGAGAGAGGGAGACACAGAATCTGAAACAGGCTCCAGGCTCTGAGCTGTCAGCACAGAGCCCGACGCGGGACTTGAACCCACAGACCGTGAGATTGTGACCTGAGCCAAAGTCAAACGCCCAACTGACTGGGCCCCCCAGACGCCCCAACACAGTGCCTTTTTTTAAAGTGCAACTTCTTAGGGAACAATCACAGGGAAGGTTGGCATAGAGTGGCCCAAATGTGCCCTATCTCTACCCTATGACAAAAATCTGCTGATTTTTGAAAGAAATCACTCCTTCCTGATTCCCGCCCACCCTCCACCAGAGACGGACCCCTACATGGGGCTTCGGGGACACAGGCACAGAGAAGGAGAAGTGGGGAGATAGGAACTGGACTTCTTAAAGGACCCAGACCAGCAAAGAGCTGGTACCAAATAAATGTTTGATAAAGGAATAGAAGTCGTGTGCATGACACAGCCTTGAAAAAAGAAAAGAACAGTGCACTGTGGAGTGGAAAGAATTCAGTGGTAAAAATTGCCACAGAGATGTGCAAGTCACGATTTCTCATGAATTGTGCTCCCATTCATTCCACTCATTTCATGACATAGACACAGAAAGGAAGAAATGCAGGCTCTTTGTAAATCCTCAGCTGAGTCTTAAATGGGATAGTCTGGTAGATGTGTCCCTCTGCTAAGATGGTCAGGATGTGCTCACAAATACTCCAGGGGAGAGATGAGTCTTTCTTGTATAATGGAAGCTAAACTTTCTCGACGTGGGTGAGAAGGGTCAAATTACAACTCACGAGCAAAATTGCTGGAGTCTCCTGTGTTCAGGAAGAATTTCTGTGGCTCGCCGCTCGTCCTGCCAGCAAATTTATCAGCATAGTGGCCCATCTGTGGGCAGCCTTCATCCGGGCAGGGGAAGCACTTGTTCTAAGAAGAGACAGATCAAGCCATAAGGTGTGAATTTGCCTTTTTATGACCCACACATCTGGGGGAGCACTTCTCCTACCGTCTGAGTTTCCTCGTTTGTAACAGGAAGGAGATTGGGAAAGAGGATTTCCAAATTTGCTTCACCAAGGCTGGGACTCCCAAGGCTCTTGCACATCACGATGGAAAATACTGATTCCTGGGCTCCAGGTTAGGTCAATTACACCTTCCATCACGTGATGTGCTGCTACGTGGTTAACAGCCAAACTCTGGGACAAAGAGCCCCGACTGTATGTAGCATTTGCCACGGCCTGTGGTATAAATCTGGCTGTGGCCAATTCCAGAGGCCCAACCCCCCAGCCTGGCATCTAGAACTCCAACGAGCGCCTTTCCTTCTCTCTGGCATAGGATGTCTTCTCTCCTACGTTCTGCCGCCCTTGCTCTGACCTGTTCTTCCTCCCAAATGCTATGCAGATTCAAACAACACCTTCTGCAGGAAAGTTTTCTAGATCATTGAAAGGATTGTTCTGATTTCCCAGCGTCTTCCTCACCTACATGACTCATCTAGAATTTTAGTCACCTCCTGCCTAACCTTCTCCCCCACTCTGCTTCACAGGATCATAAACTCTGAGGGCCCATGCAAAACAAGTAAGAGATGATCAGAAACTGGTGAGAGGGTGCTGCAAATCCCAAACATAGCGGACAACCGTCCCACAGAGGGACTCAAGGGATAATAGCTTACAGACTCAAAGGCCTTGTAGGAAGCGCAGGGGTAGGAAGCGAACCCATCGGGGTTGAGGATGCTCTCCGAGTAATACTTGTAACTTCTCAGGTGATTGCAAGCCACAAAATCCCGAGTCCCTGGGGAAACAAATGAGGACGTCTACATACGTGGTCTGGGGAGCTGACGGCTTCTGTCTCTCCAAGGGGAGAGGTTCCAAAGTGGGGCCATACTTGGAGAAATGTAAGATCGGGCCAACTTAAGGTAAGTCCAAAATAAATGCCAGTGAACACAGAGAGGCTGCTTTCTGTGAGCGAGGCAGTGTTCCGAGTCCTTTACGTGTGTTGTTCCTATGAACAATGCCTTTCTAGGCGGTAGGTACCAGACCATTTCTAAGTACGGGCGATACACAGATTACAGCCTCAGATGTACGGATTGTAGCCAGTTAGTGGCAGAACTGGCAGTTAAACCCAAGCCCGTCTGGTGCTTGAGCCTATGCTGCTAACCATTGTGCCTTCCTGTGTCCCAGGCACTAGGCTAGAGGTCCTTGAAGACACAGCCAGATGTGAGGTGACCTCTTAGACATGATGAAACCAGAGCACGGACATTTTCATGCTGTGTTTAGGCAAATAAAAAGGAGGCTCGGGTCGCTTGAGTTGGCTCTTTTTTTTTCTTTCTTAATAACTTTCCTTGGCCCCCACAGCTCCTGCCAGGTGACAGAGGTCACAGTATACCTTCTAGATATGACCCAAACTTGCTTGGCTATTACTGAGAGAGAGTTTGGGCCACCCTTTCCATGGAAACTCTCATAAGAGACAAACACATACATCTGCATTCTTAATATTTGCTTCGATGTCATACATACCTCCCATTTTGATCGAATTCAGTAAGAATCTTTACTCGTTAGATTTGGTCAGACCACTAACAGTTTAAACCTGTGTGGTTCCAAGTGATGAGCTGGGCTGAAAAATTCACTTCTACGTTGTCCTTTTCACCTCATCAGATCCAAAATCTGTCGCTGAAGGATGACCTTCAGCCCAGGTGTGCTCCATCAATGGTGAAGAAGAACCCCAAATAGCACTCTCTCTGCTTCACCTTTCCTACCAGTGACTGTTTCTCATCCTGACCCAACATACAGGGGTGGTGACTCTCATTGGGCAAATGGCTCTGCCGTGGAAATGATCGGGGAGCATTGTCATTTTGGCTACGGTATTGAACAATACTGTACGTGAACTGGAGCCGTATCATTGACTCCCAAGGGGGGACTGGCAGAAAAATTCTCTTAGGATGTTTACTTTCATGGCATGTCTTGTCTTTGTTAGGTAGCTGCCAACTCATTGGTGGAGTTATGGCTTTGAGCAATTTTGTCGTTCTTTGTGGCTTGCACAGTCCAGGACACCCACGACGGTGTTTTAAGGAAGTGCAAAACCAGTAGAGCGGAGATACGACAAGGAGTCTGTAGCTATATTTTTTCAGAAATAAGGTCTAGAAGGAGAAATTGTTTTAAAGAGCCGTTTCATTTTTGAGATGTGCTCTGGGAAGATACTGCTCCCCCCAGGGAAGTGATGCCTCGCTCTGCTCTGGCTTTACCTTCCCAGATGCCATCGAGGTCCACGATCTGTGACAGGGCATTCTTCTTGCATCCTGGCATTTCCTCCCCTCCGTTGGGGAAGAAGTCGAGGTGACCTAACAGCTGTTTTGTTCCAAAACCTGAAACGTTTGGAAGAGCAATGAGTTTTTCATAATGCAGGGTTATGCCTCTTGGTTACAACACAACTGCGCATGCTTGCAGCTAAAGCGTCATTGGGCTCACCCAGGAATGGGATCAGGGCTGCTGCATCTGTATGGATCACGTCAACGAAGTCAGCATCAGAGGGATCGAGCCGAACCTCTTCAGGAGTACCCTGGAAGCTTGCTTCTACAGGATCCAACCCTAAAAGAGATGATCAGTGCTGCAGAATAGTAGGCCTGGCTGTAGGTGCCAGCAGGACCAAGGCGTACAGTTGCTCAGGCTGTGCATTGCTCAACTCGAGGGGTGCCATACTCTGAAGTCATGCAGTGCCATGGCCCTGCATATTGAATACGGGGACCTAGAGTTTCAACGTTGCTCACTAGAGAAGGGCTCCCGTGGCGTGGATAAAGAAGGGTAGATAAGCTAAGAGATTTAAATTTGTCTGACCAAGGATTTTTTTTCACATTATTTTCTCCTATGTACTTGGCAGATCTTTCTTCTTTAACATTCTTTTTCCTCTTCTCAAGTTTGAAGAAGAAAGGGATAGAGTAGCATGATATCATATTTATGAACACAGATTCTGGAACCAGGCAGCCTGACTCTAAATCCCTCCTCAGCTATTTCTTGGGCAAGTTGCATGACCTTGGGCGAGTTGCTCAACCTATTTCTTGTGCCTCAGTTCCCCCGTTTATAAAATCCGGGTAATGATATGGTTACAATAAGATGAAATGAGATAATGTATATAGCTTTTAGCACAGTGGCTGGCATACCATCATGAGTGTATCAGTAAAATATTGATTACTATTATTTCCTCCTGACTATACTTCCTTCCTGGCAGGGCTCCTGAATTTGTCAATAGTTCTTTGAAGGTTTGGGCAGAGCAGCTGGCCAGAAAAGGCCAGTTGAAAATGAAAGGGAGAGCTCTTAGACAGCAGAGGCTTTCTCGAGCCACGCGGCAGTCGAACTGGGTTAGAATCTCAGCCCCACCACTCATTTATTGCCTGATTTAGGGCAAGTTATCCAGTTTCCTGAGCCTGTTTCTTCAGTTCTGGGGATTCCGTGAGGAAATGTAAGGCACTTTACATAGTATTTGGGCTAAGCAAGCACTTAATCTATGCTTACTATAATAATAATCATAGCATTACATTCTTATGATTCTATTATATAATGTATGTTGTTGTCGTTGTTGTTGTTGTTACAAAGTGAAGGCTTTGCTTGGCTTGCAAGAGTGATCTGCACCACTGGTGGCTGGGTTTCTCCTACCAATAGAGGCTCTGGAAGCGTGATTTTCATGTTCCACTCTGCCTTTGAGTTCAAAGAGAAGGGGGAAGGGAATAACAGTGTGCATTCTTAATTACATTTGCACACGCTCACACGGGCCTTCGTCTCCATTTTCCTGGCTGCCCAGTCCTGCTGAACGACCCACACTGCCAAGAAACGTGGATCTAAGGAGGAGGGATGGAGACAGACAGGAGAAGCAAGGGGAAGCAAAGGGGGGTGAGCAAAAGCACCACCTCCCCTTCCAGAAAGATGGACTTCCTGGGGGTTTCCTAGGGGCTTCCTGGGGGCTTCCTAAAATGTTCTGTGCAGAGCATTTTGGGGACAGACTACTTCGGGCCAGCTTCTGTCTGGTCGGCAGGCTTGCACCACGTTCTGGGGTCACTGGGGACAAAACCCGGGGCCCTGCCCCTTGGGCCTTACCTGTAATTCTGCCCAGGCCTGGAGTCCTGCTCCCAGCCTCTCCCGCCGCGTGGGCTCCCAGGCTGTGGCCGATGAGGTGGACTTGGGAAGGAGAGTAGCTATAGTTTGTCTGGAGAGGGAAGAGTGCATTTTCAGGACATTTTTGTGCTGTGGTGTTTTGTTTTGTTTTGTTTTGTTTTACATGTGTGGTTTTTGTAACACGTAAACCTAATGTCGTTACCCCTCTGTTGAAAACCTTCTGTGGCTCCCACTGCCCTCAGGATCAAGCCCAAATTCATTACGAGGGTTTCAGAACTTTCCTTACTCAACACCCATTTTTCTAGATTCTTCTCTAGCCAAAGCCTATGCAGGATTTCCGGGCCCTCGGATACATCATATTCCCTCATCTGTGGGTCTGATGATGTTGCTGTCCACTCCCCAACCACTTGTCCAGCTCACATGACACAGCCTAGCCATCAGCTCTCAACTTAGATGTCTCTCCCTGGGAGACATCCTTCGTCACGCCCCCCAGTCCCCCAGCCCGGATTAAACGGTGCCCCCGCATGTGCTCCTAGTTAAGCCCTATAGTCCCCCCATTAGAACCCTGACCATCCTCTACTCTCGTTTCAAGTCTTCACCATGAGCTCCTCCAGGGCCTGGGACCTCACCGTCCTCTTGACCTCTTAGCAGAGTTCCTGACACTGTGCCCCCCAAATATTGGATGAACAAGTGGCATACAGCTATGAGTGTTTGCACGTGTAGGTCTCAGAGACGTTCGCCCATGTATACTCGTTGATCTTCAGAACCTCTAGGACAAACATCACAGGTTTTAATTTCTGCAGGGGTGCAGAAGTAGTTAGAACCGATCGGTTCTTTTGTGGACCCTTTCACTATAAGACAGAAACAGCTTGGGCCTTTATCTGGGATAGAATATAGAGTTGGGGCGCCTGGGTGGCGCAGTCGGTTAAGCGTCCGACTTCAGCCAGGTCACGATCTCGCAGTCCGTGAGTTCGAGCCCCGCGTCGGGCTCTGGGCTGATGGCTCAGAGCCTGGAGCCTGTTTCCGATTCTGTGTCTCCCTCTCTCTCTGCCCCTCGCCCGTTCATGCTCTGTCTCTCTCTGTCCCAAAAATAAATAAACGTTGAAAAAAAAATTAAAAAAAAAAAAAGAATATAGAGTCATGAAGAGTTAGCGCCTTCACCGAAAGAATTCAAGACTCTAAGTTAGCCAGAATGAAAGACCCGGGTAGGAAGAAACAGCTGAATTGACAGTGGCAAACGAAATTCTCTGCCATCAACAGGGCCACCAACAGGGCCGTGGCGTTGGTACCTGCCAATCGCACCTGCTGCCCTCGGGTTCCTTTTGGTGCTCCTTGCGAATGCCTTGTTTGCCCCACACAGAGACCACCCGGTGTAGTGGGGGGCCCCTGGCACTAGACAGCTCTTGTATTCCCCTGTGCTATGATTTTGGGGGACAAACTCTTTGACCTCTCTGGGCCTTAGTTTTCACATCTGTCAATGGAAGATGTTCATAAACATCCTTAGTTTTCACATCTGTCAACGGAAGAGGCCTCCTAAGTGTTAGCTATTACTGATTTTTCTTCCACTGCCGTGTCCTTATTAAGGCAAATTTCAGCGTTTTAGAAGTGAGATTCCGAGACAAATACAATTCTTTCTATTTCTTGTCAAAATCTGTAACTCTCAGCTGTATCTTTAGCCGACAGAGACCCGGGGGCGCCGCCTGCCTCCCCAGCAGCCCGGCCGGCGGACTCACCGAGAGCATGCTGATCATCTGGGCCACCTGGGCACCCACCACCCGCACGTTGTTGGCGGCCTGTGTGTACGTGGTCTGGGAGCCTTTCTTCCAGTCCACGCAGATGCAGTTCACCTCCTCCACCGCGAACATGTTCTGGTGTTGGAAAGACACCAGGATGTTACCATAGGGGCGCGCAAAACCCCGTCTAACCAGGGCTCCGCAGTGGTCACTCGCACTTACTACTGGTCATTCTGTCTTTTCCTCGCTGGGGCGCTGAGACAAACTGGGCTTTGTTAGGAACCTTGTTGTCGATTAGGAGTCATCCCTCAGGGTAAAGGCGATGGGCAAGGCAAACCTATTCCCTCTCTAGCTTGCAGGTTAATTAAAAGCTGGCCACTCTCTGGTTTTCTTTGACCAAATTCGGTAAAGTTGATTAGGTATGTGGGGGAACAACTGCATCCTTAGAAGAGCCCTGTTTTGAAGAGGAAAGGTCTCCAGTGCCGTCTCTGATGGCCAGTGTCCAAATGACCTTGTGGATTTGACCTCCAGCCCTCCTCTTGGCCTCTTGACATCCCTGCCAATAACCGGACTTGCCTTCACCCCTGCCTGCTGGGCATTTACTAAGCGTCTACAGTCAGGATAGCACAGTATTTCATGGAGGAAACACACACCGCAGATATTTGAAAAATAAAACTGCAGCTGACTTAAAAAGAGATTGAAGAATTCTGAAAACTTCTAGGAGGTCAAGGAAATGGATGGAGCCTTAGACATTCTGCCAGGTAGTACATAGGCCAGCTTGAGTTGAAAACGGTTCTATAAATTTAAAGCCCACTTCAAATTTGTCACATCTGTGATACTAATATGTGTGATCACGCACACAGAGACACCAAGAGTTATTTCTCAGGACCTTTATTTTTAAAACAACCCTGAGGAATCTCTTACAGCCCTGAGGAATTTGGAGTATAAACTATATCTCACACTGTAAGATACAGTTTATAGTTGTTCTGATGGGACAGAATAGTTAAATGCCTGGCAAATCAAGGCCAAATGCAGAATGACTGTAATTTTCTAGGTTTGTAACTTCTCCCGTTGACGTGATAGGTCAGAATTATTAATGTGTGTGTGGAGGACAGGCTGCTCGGGTAAACTCTTAGGCATCAGAAAAATGGATGGAATCAGTGTCTATGTAAAAAGAAAGGGTGACGGTGTATTATTATGTGTTTGTGTGTGTATGCCTGTGCACGTGTGTGCGCGTGTGTGTGCACGTGCGTGTTCTTCTGTTGTCTGTCCTTCTAGCCAATAGACGCTGTGTTACAGATAGTTTTGACACTTTCTATTCTGTAATTCGGTCTCCTGGTTCACCTTAGTTCTCCATTTCCCAAATAAATGGTTGTAGCAACACATCATCGCAGGGACGTGGGAGAGACTTGGACAAAAAGAACACAATCCCTCATGCGCAGGAACACAAAGTGCCTTCACTAAAAACGGAAGCAGACCTTTGGCTTTGATTTAGCCAGAAATAAGATGGTGCAAGTGTTTGCCCACATAGCCAAGGCCACTGCTCCAGGCTACAGATGGTGTCCGGAAATGTGGACGTGAATTCTTACTATCTTAAAGAGAATCATTTTAATTGCCTGAAGTTAACTTGTGTGTAGGGATTTCCTGTCTCCAAGCTTATCTGCTGTGCTTTCTGAAAGGCTTGCTGCCGGGGACAGGGCAGACCATGGGGCTGGGAGCCGGCCCTACCTTGCACATCTCCAAAAGCCAGCTCTCTTCTCCCTTGTCTATGAAGCCGTGGATGATGAACCGGGTCTTCCTGTTTGTTTGAAAATTTGATGCTTCAATTGTTGATGGGTCAGAGGGAAGGAGAGTCTGTGACAAAAGCAGAAAGGGGTTGCATGTTTTTGTAGCCTGGCCATTCAGGCCTGCCTCTCCTTCTCCATTTCTGCTTGTTCTGATGCCTTAATCTTTCTTTT